CGATGCCAAATGCTGTTCATTTTCAAGAGAAGCCGCTACTAATTACTTTTGAAGTTTTCTTTGAACTGTCTGATATCAGTTTACCTGGAAAGAGGCAATGCCGTTTTTAATACGAAGAGATAAAATTAATGCATGCATTATTTCACAGTTCTTGCATCAATTCTTCATAGTGAGTGTATGAAGTTTTCAGCCCTCTCCAAACGCTATGATTAATTCGTTTTCTACGGTTTATCAACACTTTTCAGGTTATTTAAAGCCAGAAAATATTTGTATATTTGTAAATAGTATATTTTGTAAATAGATTGTAAGAATTTTTGGGCGATAATAATGCTTTAGCGATACAAGTCTTACTAATTAACCCATAGATGAGGGAGGTATCCATTCATATATTTCCTAAGGGGATTTACGCGTCAACTGAAATTGGAACTCGGCTCTCCGGTTACAAATTCAGAGGTATTATCCATTACTTAATCTGCACATCCAAGCTTAAAGCACATGGTATTCACCCATCTAGATATTGATCGTACGGGAACCAATGTTTCAACGTGATCTGGACGAAAACATGCCCCAAGCTTTAACCAGCCATATTTGTATGAATATTTCATCTGACCAGTTAGAAAGTTTTAATACTTTCACACATTTATCACGGTGATTTCAAGGAGAATGAGTCGACGAATTCACACGCACTGAATTTCCTGATTTATACACCCACCTGTAATGTCTTATCTTAGGACGTACGTAATTCAAAATAGTTCTTTCGACTTGAAACAATGATTTCTATTACTTCTATTCCATGTAGTCGTTTTAGTTAGAAATTTGAACAGATAATTAAGATTTTTTTTCAATCCAGTATTTCTAGATTTGCAAGTATTGGCTTGTCCGATAAATCGGCTCGTTTTTTGTTCCTTTTTTTTTTTTCATCAGTTCATCAATATTTTTTTTCAAACGTCAGTCAATCATATATTTCCTTCATTGTTCTCGACTTCTTGCCAATCTTTCTCTACTTTGTAAATGTCTTGGCGCTAGAAATCACCGGGCCTTGAAACATTCATTGAGTCACGTTTTCAACTCCATGTCCTTATTGAATTAAGAGCCTCTAAGTTTGATGGAAAGCGACCGACAAAGATGATAAACTGAAGAGGCCAAATCTGGCGAATGCGTTGACTGCAGTAGAACATCCCGGCTAAGTTCTTGAGCAGTAGTTTTTGTCAATGTAGTCGACAAGCGTTGTCGCGTTGAAGAAGAAGATGTCCAAAATAAACATTGTGTCTATTTGGTAATCCGTCATTATATGGTTGGAAAGAAGTAATCTTCAATCAAGTTTCTTAAAACGATATGCAAAAGTTGTGAAGAAAGAATATAGCTACAAAAAATAAATAAATAAATAGATAAAACACTTCGGTAAAGATACCTTACATGTTAATTCTTATAACATTGGAACAAAAAAAAAAAAAAGACAAATTTATCCGGCAATCCTATAGCTGACATTCAGGACATAATAACGTAAACTAAGCGATTTTTTTTTATTGAAACTTCGGTTTTCAGTTTTGTGCTGAAGATCTGCTATCAAATTCAGATTAAAAATATTCCGAATATTGCTTTTTCTTTGATGGGGGGGGCCACTTTTTTAAATGAGAACTTACAGTTATTATATACCAGACAAGTTATTTCTCACTTACTCTATTTTAATGAAGAAACCCACAATCGAGACAAAGTTAATAAAACTGGTGATGACTAATGCGAAATATCCCCTAATTATAGAAATATCCCCTAATTATAGAAATATACCCTAATTATAGAAATCCGCTAATTATAGAAATATCTCCTAATTATAGAACATCCCTAATTACAGAAATATCCCCTAATTATAGAAATATCTCCTAATTATAGAATATCCCCTAATTATAGAATATCTCCTAATTATAGAATATCCCCTAATTATAGAAATTCTAATGAGAAATTTGTGAGTATGACAGCGAAGATGGGCATTCTGATGTGAATATCAAATATACAGGGTGTGCCAAAAAATATGACATCATTTCGCAGGCCAATAATTTTGGCATTTTCTTTGAAAAAGATCAAGATCTTTTATCTCATGGAAGAGGACAGTATGTCCTTATCTCAATGAGAATCTGCCAGAGAGTTAGATTGGGCGTGGTGGAGATGAAGACAGTTTTCTGATGAAATGACAGTCGTGGTCACCGGACTTGTCCCCGTGTGACTTCTTTTTATGGGGATATGTGAAGGGACTGGTCAATGTCCCCCTCTTTCTGCTATCATTGATGAACTCAAGCAGAGAATCACTTCCACACTGGATAATGTTACTGGAGACATGCTACAACGTGTTTGGCAAGAGCTTAACTACCGACTTGACGTGTGCCGTGTCACAGGCGGTGCACATATTGAACGCATATGAAATCGGTCCCATAATAAACTTATGATGTTCGACACCTAAACTGTTCAATTTCCTCGAGCTAGACTTAGTAGTTTTCAAGTTAATTTCTTTTAAAAATGATAATTTTTTGGACACCCTGTATAAATCTGAGTACCTATCACGATGGATGCAATCCCGGAGTATAATAGTGCTGACTCGATAAAAAAAAAAAAAACCACAAAGGTCAATAAGTCTGGTTCGTATTAACTGATATAAAATATTTTCTAAGCAACAAAAACGGAATAGAATAATCTACCAGTGGGTTGGGCAAAAGTTTCGTTTTGAAATTCCAAGAAGGTTACTGAGTACGTTTAGAGATTAAGCCTGGATGGTAGAACGGCCGAACGTTGTGTTTATAATACCAAAGGTGAATCGTCCGAACAGCAAAATGCATAATACAAAATTTTATGGAGACACAAAGAGAATGAAAAAAAATGTCTTCTTCTATGTGCAATGTCCGTTAAGGGTGTTAGCGATCACTGTTCTCTATAATTTCCCGTTAACTGTACCTCTTAATAAATATTATTTTCTTGTTATCACTCCTAAAACTTGTTCCGTCATTCATTTACTCAATCCCGCTAGGTATGTATGTTTCTTTGTTTTCATTTGTCCCTCTTTCTTCAATTTGTCATGTGAATATCAAATTTTCCAAGCCCTTTTTCCTCCTTATGTGCTATAGAGATGTTCAGTGTCACTCTTCCTGATGTTAAGTATAAGTGTCAATTTTGTTTCCATTTTCTCTAAAACTTATTCGTTGCTTATATGTTCGGCCCATGATATTCTTAGCATCCTTCTGTATGAAAACAGCAACAGGACATTGTCTGAAAATTCGGTTAAACCAAGCCCCGTGAATGTGATCCTAAGATATACAGCTTTATCAGATGAGCCACGGGCATCGTTCTCGCAACTGTTATATTAGAACTGAGAACATAAGTTTCAATACGGCTAACAAAACCACTGCTACTGCCACTCTAGTGACTATTGCAGCGTGTTGTTGCTTCTGAATATTGTTACTGCTGTTATCTCTATTGTAACTACTTATTCAGTCGCTCGCCTGCAAGAACTGAGACTCCGTTTTACAGAGCCACAGACAAAAGCCGGCATGCTGCTGTAAAAGTCACTCCATCTTGCACTTCCTTCGCACGCTGTGCTGTTAGGAGCAGTGGACAACATTACCCGAAATTAAAAGAAAGAAAGTATAAGGAAGGAAACTGTGGGAGACATTTATGAGAGGTATCTTTGTCCATAGCACTTGCGTTAGAGGAAGAAAACATAAGAATCGTATAGTATATATTAATGTAACTGAAGAAAAAGGAAAAGAGAAAAGAAAAGAAAAAAGAAAAGAAAGAGTGAAGGAAAAAATAATTAAAGAAAGAAAGAGAATTATTTTTTTTAAGTACGAAAGACAAATCGTAATACATGCATATGTATATATTTAAATCTGAATTGATTTATATTAGATGTCCGAAAAAATTCATAGAAACTATAAGGAATATGTAAAAAAAAAAAACATAAAAGCGAAAATCAAGTAAAAGAAAATTGATATAAAAAAAAGGTAGAAATTTAAATGAGAACGAGAGACAAATAAACACTTAAAAGAAAAAAACTGAAATTTGAAAAATCAAAAAAAGGAAAAGAAAATATCGAAATATACTAAATTACAAGATTTTTCCAACAGAGAAATATCTTTGAACTGGCATCCCATAGGAATAGTTCTTTTGTTCGCTACAAACATTTTTCACTCAATCGGTCCGCTGGGCTGGCGGTTTTCTTCTCATCAAGAGAAACATTCAATTGGAAAATCGGTCCTCCATCACGGCCTTTTCCCGCCTTTCACAACATTCCTTCAGATCGACAGATCTTTCTCACTATTTAGATTACATTTGTGAGAGTTCTTCTCGCTCTCTCCCTTGATATCTCTCTCGACTTTTCTCTCTCTCTCTCTTTCTCTTTTGATATCTCTCCCAACTTCTCTCTATATATACCCTTTCCTGTTCTTTCTTTTCGGATTGGTGATACTAATCCTCATTCCGCTTCACACGGTTTTCTATACCGATATTGGGATTTCTACTTTCGGCTAAAAAAGAAAAGAAAACACGCTGCCTGAATGAGTCTCTTTTCCTCTCCCTATTTTGATTTAAATTTGTTAATTTATTAAACGTACATTTTTTTCCGCCAAATCTTATTAGTACACACAGACAAATCGGCGCATGTTTATAAATATCTTTAATCGTTCGGTTCTTTTCATCTTTCCCTCTTTCTGAACGTGATAACTTCGTTTGTGCTCTGACATTTAGAATTTATGTTTGAAATGTTAATGACTTTAATATAAAAGGCCGTATTGTAAAAAGTTGAAAAAAAAAACCAACCTATTTCGTAAGAAGGGAGAGGTTAAAAAGGAAGTTAATTTATTACATTAATTCTTTAATATCTCTTTCTTTATTTTCATCTATCTATCTATTTATCAATCTACCTATTTATCTCTACCGAACCAGTCATTGTGGATCCCCCATACAAATCCCTACAGCAGAGGAACAGGTCGTTAGGGGACCATGACCTGGAAACTATGGCAGCAAAAATCGACGACGGAATAGAAATTCTGTCCTGCAACTATGATCGAAACGACGTCAACCTAGCCCTGACAGCCGCGAAAGACGGGGCCATCCCTGCCAGCGGAGTTACCGCTCCGGAACGGCACTCAGTATCGACGAAAACGACTTCTACGATGAGCACACCGGTGCCGTCGGCGTCCCCAACACCGACACCGCCGTCGGTGAACACGATACCGGAACGTGGTAGCCGCAAGGGGCGGCGTAGCGAGGGGTCGGTAAAGGTCCGAGGGGACCACTATCGGGGTGACCACTACCGAGTGGCCAACCAGGAGGAGTACGATGAAGAGACGGAGGCTGAAAATGGTCGGATGACACGTGTGGACGGGTCAGTAGCGGTCAAGACACCGGAAGACTTTAAGGAAGATGATAACGAAAATAACCCCTATAGGAAGAAAGTGGCCAGAGTAGTTGTGGTCATTTCAGTTATCATGTTGGTTATGAGTATTTTGCTGGTGTGTGTATCACTCAATATGTCCAAGAACATAGATGACTTAGGTAAGTAAACTTTGACTTATATTATAACTTATATTAATTTACACATTTAAACTGTTTCTTTTTCACAGGTTTAAGCATTTCTGATTATTTCAACTTTAACTGTACTTCTTTTATATAGAAAATCCTTTCAGAGTTTGGGTGACAATGGCTCACCACAAGTCCCCATTATTTAGCCCCATCATTTCATAAAACCTAATGCACGCCTTGATACATTCACAGAGTTAAAACACTATCATTACCTGCGTATTCCTTTGACTATGAGGTTGTTCTCTTCAGTAGCTTCTCCCTAAGAAACGCTAGTATGTGGAACAATGCAATATTAGCCTCTAAAGTTTAAGGTCAACTCTTATCTATCCTCCATATCCTCATAATCTTCACTTTCTACTTTCTGCTCTCGCATTGATCTCACCCGCCTCATTTATTAACTCTCTATCTTGAGTGGTTCTCATGCCTTGTTATGCCAGAACATTAGTAAAAAAGAAATTTCTTCAAAATAAATTTGCTCCTTTATCATCCATCTTTGCCCCTATTTTACAGTTCATTCACTCTAACACGTGACTTGTTCTCTCCCTCTGCTTCTCTTGCCCTTATTATGTTCTGTGAGGGTTAAATTCTCTAGGCCTGATTTTCTCATTTCGTGTCTCGGATATTTCAACTGTTTCTACTTTGCTTAAAACTTTTCTAAAATGTTTTGTTCGCGGAATTATCAACATTCGTTTGCATCTTATTCACCTTTGAGAAAACTTCCCGGCATTTCCTCCTATACAGGAAATTAGATATTACATAGAATTTAAGAATATTTTTTCTTATTGTTTATAAAAAAGATTTTATATTATTAGCAGTATTCGATTTTTACGTTCGCCCCACGTTGGAATCTGATGGTTATCAATGGGTGACAAGTGATAGTATGTCTTCCCAACTTTTAACTGCATTCTTTGAGATTCATGTCCATCCTAGGAATGCGGTTGTTAGGATGGTCAATCCTTTCTGAAATCAGCACTTCTAAGAGTCGTGGAGCGGCTCCTAAGGAATCAACGATTACGAGCATGAGCTATGTCAAGTTCCACAAACCATTTGCATTCTTTTTAATACTCTAGTAATTAAAATACTATTTCTTGTTTTCTATCGGCTGCTTTCTTATGATATTTATCTATATTATTTTCACAAGTCTTAAACAATATGAATATTTTTATTTTTATTCGTATTATCAGAGACATCTTTAGTGATACTGTTATTCTATTGGTCATGTTTTATTGTGATTGCTTATTGCTTTAAAAACTCTCTGCCTTGCAGTTGGGAATGTTGAAAAAAATCTGAAAAAAAATGGTAAGATATGAGAGAAATAATGAGGATTAAGAAAAAAATATTTCAAACTTTCTTACTATCGAGAAATACAAATATTTAATCGGTTCTTTCTTTTTTGTTTTTGTTTTTGTTTTTTTTAATCTTTGTTTACGGCGAGATTAACTAGAAGCAAAACTTTTATACGTTTTGTTTTTCTCATATGCCCATTAATTCTGGGCAATCCACTGAATGATTCCGTCGAGTAGAAATCGATTTTCGGTTTCCCATCGATTTATTTTCAAAACGATTGGAGGAGAAACGGAGAAAGTATATGAATACCTCCATCCGAAATGTAATCCTTTGTTTTCATCTCACCCATTGTTGCCTTTCCACTTAACCTTTTCCCGTCATCATCATCATCATCATAATAATAATAATAATAATAACATTGTTAATCATCATCATCATCATCATCATCATCATCATCTCCCTCATCATTCCACAATCAATGCCCCCGTTCACCGTCATTACCCATCATCATAATTCTCATTATTCAGACACTCATTATCATCATAGCTCCAACCATCATCATCGTCGCCATTCCCATACTATTGTCATCATCATCATCTACGCCATCATTATTACCTCCATTATCATCATAATCATCATCATCATCCCTATAATCTTTATACCATCATCATCTACACCACCACCACCACCAACAACCTCATCACCATGATCATCATCATCCAAACCAGCCACAACATCACCATCCTCATCATCTGTTATCAACCCTTTAATAACTACTCCTACCATTCACGGAATATATCTCAAACTTATATTTCAGAATTAGTGTTAATTCCAACTGGAATTGTTCCAAATGTTTTACTTTTATAAAGAATTACCCAACGCAGTGGATTTATCTGAATGATGACGCAGATCGAAGCAATGATTATCGGTATTTAATCCATGGCTACAAGGCTCTATTAATAAATCTATAAACTGGCACAGTTATGATCTGAATTTTCATCGGAAATATTCACCGTATAAAGTTCGAACGATGTCATCACTTGAGAATAGTTGGACTACGGACATTGATGAGAAAGAAGATTACATTGAAAAATAAATATTTCTTTTGTAAAATAAATGCTTTCTCTGATATTAAGTAACGAATGTAGAATATCTGAAATTGTCGGAACCTCAGTTGGATGAAATACTTTTCGATATTGAATGGGTAACAGGCTATTTTAATATAGGTAACTGATGTGTAATACTTTGGGAATTGACAGATTTACGTGGCTGTAGCCTCCACAAGCTTCTCTGTTCCGATTTCATATATTTGCGACTGATTCTTGGACAATCAACTTTTCGATCGATGCGCACTCACGCACCCGAGCATATAAATATAACTACAACATATGACATCTACAGATATTACCTGTGAACCTTTAGATATTCGGTATATATATATATATATATATATATATATATATATATATATATACGTGAAGAATGACAAATCCGTAGGTGGTAGTGATCATTCCAATGAAGTCTTTCTAATATATAAATATAAAAGATTAAATCCATGATGAGAGCTATATGTATAAATTTATATACGTTTATTCTTTTTCTTTTGATTTTTTGTCTATATATATTTTTTTATTGATTTTATTTTTCTTTTGATTTTTATTCTTTATATTTTTTAAATGTCTGTTTTATTGTCAAATTGTCTAACTTAATTAATATCATTTAATGCAATGTAGTCGGTCTGAAGGTATATATATACACACACATATATATATATAAGCATATATATGTACATCTGTTGAAATAAATTTACAAACGATTATATGATGAATACTTGAGTATTTTCCTTATTATATATATATATATGTGTGTGTGTGTGTGTGTGTGTCTGTGTCTGTGTTTGTATGTATATATATATATGTGCATATATATATATATATATATATATATATATATATATATATAAATGAAAGGATCAATAGATCAACTTCTCTAACTCTCCTCTCTAACTTTATCACACTATCTATCTATCTATCTATCTATCTATCTATATATATATATATATATATATATATATATATATATATATATATGTATGTATGAATAAATAGAGACAAGAGGAAAAATATACTGAGCAGACAGGTTTCTTCCTCTAAGAGTTTATCAGAGGCGAAACGCGTCTGAAAAGTATAGTTTTTCCTTTGTCGCCTTTTATTCATTTTGTTTCTTCTACAGATACAAGAATATTTACACACGCATGCATACACACACATACACATATATATATATATATATATATATATATATATATATATATATACATATACATGCATACATACATATATATATATATATATATATATATATATATATATATATATACACATACATACGTATATGCACTAAGAATAATTATATATTAGTTGCACAGTCTTCTACGCTTCATCAAGCACAGTTTTATTGTTTTATTGTTACTGCCATCACTCGCAGTGCCCGATTTCCCCACACACACACACACATATTTTTGTGTGTATGCATACATATAAAAAGACATTCATGAATATATCCTTACATTAAGCAATTTTCTATATTACAGATGTTTATTTTCATTCCGTAAGCATATTTCCTTTCATTGACAATGTACCTAATTCAGTACTGTATAAACCTAATGTCAAAAATTAAGAAACCTACCTGCTCATACACACACATCACTCTCTCTCTCTCTCTATATATATATATATATATGTGTGTGTGTGTGTGTGTGTGTGTGTGTGTGTGTGTGAGTGCGTGCGTGCGCGAGCGCTCGAGCTCATGTGTGTGGATGGACAGGAAATAGAAAAGAGTGATCTCTAAAGGGAATTCTCATTTTGTTGGGAATCAAAACGATTCTGTCTAATCTTACTTCATGCACATCGAATTTCGGTAAAATTTTCATAAAAATCGATTTCTAACGCAAATAGTTTTTGGAAAAAAATTAAACTAAGGAAAAGGAAATTCATTTTTATTTTTTTAGGCCCAAAAATTTAGACGTATTCAAATTATTTCCAGTGAGGAGCGACAACATAACAAAATAAATATAAAAAAAAAATCCTGCTTATTTCTACAAACAAAATGAAGCACTTCGGTAAAAAGAAAAAAAAATGATTCAAGCGATATTTTAAATGTTAGACAGAAGATGACAGCTTTTACCAAACATGTCCTTGAATTGACTGAGTCGTTTAGAAGAAATTATTTTTGATGTATTCAGGCTTAGATCTGTTTATATAAATCCGGCAGATCATGAAAAATAATTTAAATCCTATCAGCAACGATGAATTCGTTTGTAGATCAAGAATATATATAGGATAAGACAATGAACACACATACCTATGCAATAACACATACTCACACGAACATGTTTATGTGGATTTAAAACTTTTAATAGCTTTTCAATACTCAGTGTTTCTCATCGTTTGGTATATTTATTTGTACATCCTGATTTTCGGGCGATCACCGAAGTTAAGCATTGTTAACTTTAGTCAGTACTGAGGGTAGCGCTTTGAAATATCGGTTACTGTAAGCGACTTCCTGTATTCCGAAATATTTTTCGGTTTTAGATAACCGTCAA